CCACTCCGACCTTAAATGTCATCCTAGAGATCAGATGGTCTTATTAAAATGGCATAATTTACTACTTGGAGAAGTCTTTAAAATGACTCCCGAGGTCCTGCTGGTATTATGGATATCCAGAGAATTCTTTGTCTTAGTCTTCAGAGTCTTGAGCTCAGCTAAAGAGTTTTGACCTCCTGGAGCCCTAAAATCATATCACTGGTCTCATCTCTTTATGCTTTCACTGTACACTCATTTGGGAGACTGGGATCTAGGTCAGGACCTGATATTTTTGAATTAAATATGTCTCTTGTGCAGCATATGTTTGGATCTTGCCTCTTGATCCAGTCTGCGACTGTTTCTTTTGATTGATATACTGAGTTCATTATCATTGATGGTTATAATTGATACATATTGACATATTTTCTCACATTATTTTCCTGTTACTGACCTTCCCCACTGTGCGGATATAATTGTTTGTCTTTCCTGGTGTATTCTTTCTGTTTTGGTGCTTGGACTTTTAATCCTTTTCATCCCTTTCGAGAATGTCCTTCAGAACATTTTGGAGTTTTAATTTGGTGTCCATGAAATTCCTCTGGTGTTGTTTGTCAAGGAAGTATCTTATTTCTCCATCGGCTTTGAAAGATAGTACATCCATCTAGGTTGGTGTTTGTTTTCTATTAAGGCTTGAAATACTTCACTCCAAGTTGTCCTTGACTTGAGGGTTTATGTTGAAAATTCAGCTATGATTCTAATCGACTTTCCTTTATAGGTGATCAGGTTTTTTTCCCCCCTGGAAGCTTTTAATATTGTGTTCTTCTGGTGAATCTCTGAAATAATGACTCTTTTATTCTTTGTGTAGATTTTTTTTTTAAATCATGGTTGATTGGGGTTCTGTATGCCTCATTTGTCTAGATGCCAAATTCAGGCAAGCCAGAGAAGTTTTCTTCCATTACATCTGTGAACAAACCTTATATGTGGTTTGTGGTATCTCCTGCTTTTTTAATTTACTCCAATCAGTCCTACGTTATTCTTCTTGCACTGTCTAACAAATGCTAGAATGCTTTCTAATAGTCCCTTTGTATTTTTTTAAAGAAATCTTTGTTTTCATGATGACTAACTGCACATTTGTATTCTATATCCAATATTTGTCCTTGTATTGATTTTTTACTACATATAATTTTTACTAGAATTTTCAATCTCCTGGTATCTACTTTAACCTGTTTCATGGATTCCATTTCTGTTCTCTGTTGGATATTTATAATTTCCATCATTTTCCTTAGCTCCTCCTTTTTTATAATATGTAGCTGCTATAGAGCCACTAAGCATGTTTCACATCAAGGTCGCCATCTCTGTTGTTATCTGAGAAATTATTTCTGAGTTGACACATTCTAGGACCTCACTCATTTGCTTCATTGTTACCACATCAGGGAAGCCAGGTTGGTGGCTTTCAGATTATCTAACCTCATTGTGCTCTTTGGATGTCTGGCGTTTCATCTGAAGTGTCTTCTCATTTTCTATTTTTTTTTAAGTTTAATTTCTGGGTTGGTGTTTATAAATTCCTATGGCAAGTAGCTTTTGTTAGTGTGTAGAGCTTTTAGAAAAAGACTACTTCTTAGAGGTGTCTCCTGGGTGTATATACTCTTTTTGGTTTGAATCTATTACAAGATCTACCTCTTCAGGGGATAGGGAATTAGAAGTTTTGGCCTGGTTGACCCAGTTCCTGTTTCTTTGAAACTGGCCCCCAGTATTTTCTATGACCCCGGGCCAATCTCAGTCTTCCTATACCACAAAGAGCAACTGGTTAGAACAATCAGCAATACAAACGGCATCAACTGGTAGAATCAGTAATGCCAATAGCATCAAACACAACTTAGAAAATGACAAACTGAGGTAATTTGCCACCTGCAAGCGTATGAGCTAAATCTGTGGTTATATAACAAAACCTAAAACAAGGCAGAAAATTGTACAGAGGAAATAAGCCCTCAATATGCCAATTTTTACCACAGGGGAGAAAAGTTTAAAGAGGTTAGGGCTTGAACAGAGAACTAAAGAAGAATTAGAGATTAGGAGCAGCACTGGGGAACAAGGAGAGATCACAAACATGTTGAGAAACTGGCGCAGAAGACAAGGTGGAAAGAGACAAGCAGGAAATAAAAGAAAGTGGAAGAAGAACAGGACAGAAGAGCAATCACAGAAAAGTTAGAAACTACAGTCCCCCTGATAGAAAGCAAGATCAACCAATGACAAGGCTTTAAAAAAAGGGAGAGAAACAAAAGAAAAGAGAAAGATAGAAAAAAGAAGATGTCTGCTTCAAGCTTTGTCTCTGCTGTCCCTGGTAGACAGTGTGTGGAGGCAGAGCACAGGTGCACGCTGATTCATCCCAGCAAGCGAGGATTAGCTTCCTGGCTGAGTAGTGGATAGTGTTAGTGCGCCCATGCTTTCATTTCCCTGAAGTCCAGGTGGGTTTCTGGCTGTGGGGCTGGAACCAGACCTGTTCAGCCTGCAGCAGTCAGGGCACTTTCTGCAGGCCTGAACTCAGCTGGGAGCCACTACTGGAGCCAGGAGTTGTGAGTTCTGAACTCACATGGCCACCTCCGAAATGGCTCCTGGACAATCACTCCCTCTCTCAGGATGCCCAGCTAAATCCAGTCCACCCAACAGACAGTGCAGTTCACAGTGTCTACTCCTCTGTTACACTGCTTCATCCCTCTGTGGAGGCCTCTAGGGTTGCCAGCAGCCACCATGTGTCCGCAGGTTTGAACCTCTTCTCCCATGTAGTGAGTCCTGACTCAGGGGAAAGGCGCCTCCCACCAACTCCTCCTTATATGTTGAACTTTTGCTCTTTGCTCTCTCCATGGTATTAAACACTGGCTTCAGATCCTTCTTTGGTACAGGAGACCCGCTTCCCTCCTCCTCTTCCTCACATTGCTACAGTTCAGTGTCCGAACAGCACATCTCAAAAAGACTCTTTCTCTGCTGCTTATCACTGCATCATCTTTCTAAAAATCCAGAATTTTGACCTTATACCTGTCCAACATCCTAACCTTTGTGGTTAGAGGCTGATGAGAGATTACATTAAATTCAGTCTATTATATTTATCTAACAAATCTCTGCCCCAGTACTCCATTCAGTCAGTTCTTAAATGAACTGCTGTGTTTGGCAATCCCATTATAATGTACCAACAGTGTTTGTATCTTAAGGATAGGCAGCCTCAATAATTAATTGATGCCAGGCATGGTGTCACTTGCCTGTAATCAGGTACTGAGGAGGCTGAGGCAGGAAGACCATTAAAAGTTTGAGACCAGTATAGGCTCAAAGTGATGTCAAGGCCAGACTGAACTACATAAATAGATCTTGTCCCAAAAAGATAAAACTTAATAAACAAAATAATAGATCCTTAGTGTTTCTACAATTGCTTGTTCTGAGTGTGTCCCTTATAATAGAACTATAGTATTCAAGATTGAGATCCTTGACTAATTACTGTGCATTACCAAATGAGGTATCCATGGGGTTTCTCAACTTGTGGTAAATTGATACCAGATGTGGTTTTTCTGGAATTCCTGAACTTCTGGCTACTGTGTAAAGTGGGGGCCTACTTGTGGAGGTTGTGCTCTTCACCAGAGAAATTTGACTTTTTACATGGAGTATAGCAGTGTAAACTCATTGAACAAATACCCTAGTTGAGTTTTGGAAAATTACATGAATAAATCCTGTCCCTGAAGAGAAGTGAGGCCCTCTCCCAAAAACTCAGGTACTTGAGCAGGCGTTGCAAGTTTCTTTGCAAGATTGTTCTCTCTCTCTCTCTCTCTCTCTCTCTCTCTCTCTCTCTCTCTCTCTCGCTCTCTCTCTCTCTCTCTCTCACACACACACACACACACACACACACACACAGAGAGAGAGAGAAACAGAGAGAGAGAGAGAAATGCACGCAACACATCATATACCGAGAGCTCTGTGCAGATGGAGATGAGGTGAACTAGCAATCTGGGGGAAGTTCATATGCATCCTGTGTGTACACCTGACCCTGTGGGTCAAGGTCAAGCCCTGGAGACTCCACATAAGTGAGCAGTGCTATCCTTCCTTGAAAAGATCACTGATGTGGTTTAGATCTAGAATGTCACTGAAAATTCTCATCTATTAAGAAGTGGGACTTTTTGAAGCAGCTTAGATCACGAGGGAGCTAGTGGACATCTACTAATAAGTTCACCTGCTGAGTGTGCTGCTGGGTGTGGAGTTTGCTTAGAAGCAGGTGACTCAGGGTATGATTTTGAAGGGTGGATCTTTCTCCCCACTTTCTTTCTTTGCTCTCCCAGTTTCCAGGCTTCCAACAGGTGATCATGTTTCTTCTCTGAGATCCTTCCATCATTCCCTTCCTGCCTTGCAATCAGCTGACTATGAAGTACCTCCTTTAAATATATGAGGCCAAAATAAACCTCCTTTTCTTTCAGTTGTGAGTTTGAATATTTAGTCTCTCTGATGAGAAAATGACTGACACCCACAACACTGAATATAGACAAATTGGACAAAAGAATAGGGATCTGTATTATATTGTGAATGCACCTGTGAACCACTCTACCATCTGTAAAATAAAATTCCTTGAGGATACTGGTGAGTGACAATAGCTACATATTTCCATGCATAAAATCAAATATATTTAATACTTCTGAGAAAATGTTTGTGCCCCAGGGGATACTGTAATCAAAATTACAAATTATGTAGTGCAATAATGCATGTAAGGAAACACTCAGAAATCAAAGCTATGTGGAAGATCAGATTTTATTCCTCTTCTTACACGCAGGCAGACATCTGGCTGAATATCAATAAGTATCTAAATGGAACACTGCAAGTATATAGGTCTTAAAGTTGGAGGTACAATTTTAAGGAATCTCAAAATGATCTCATTTGAGTTTAAGGTGTGAGGGGAATCAGTGCAGGTACGCAGAGCTGGCTTCTGATGACTGAAGGGTGACCTTAGCCTCTCACTGAAATTTTATTACCCTTTTTTTCTTGTTTACCAGGTGAAAGCTATTGCCAGTAAAGAGTACATTGTTTATCATGGGCAGCCCAAAACTCTGAGGCCAACTTCAGGCCAGTCCTGACATCTGGAAAGAAAGAATTTCTCAAGCAGGATCAGGAGACCCTCTCTTTGAACTGTGTGAGTCAGGACAATGGGGAGGAAGCAGGCGCGGGATGGATCAGTCAGAAGTTTTTGTCTCACTTTCCCTCTGGCTGCAGTCACTGTGGGTTATACAAAGCTACTGTCACTGCCGTGGTTCACTCCGCAGTAGTAGACATTCTCAACTTCTTCTTGGATGTTCTGGATGGTCAGGTACTGATCCAAGCCAGAGCCTGATCCTGAGACTCGGTCAGGGATTCCATTCCCCTTATTCCACAATACCACTAGTACCCACTCGTATCACAAACTGAGCTCCCCCCCCCCCGGCTCTGCTGGAACCAGTCCACATAGTAATTACTGTAGCCACTGCTCAGGGTACAGGTGAGTTTGTGTGTCTGTCCCAGGGAGGCAAATGCAGCAGGCAGCTGAGTCAGCACAACCTGGGAGAGAGACCCTGGAAACACAGACCTCCATTAAGAATCCCATTGGGAGACAGGAGAATTCTTCTAGGAGCAAGGACAGGGCTGGTGTGTGGGTGTGGGCAACAATGGTCTGTATGAGGCAGTGACCATTTGTCCCATCTGACCTGTGAAGAGAGTGGTGATGGTGAAGGAGAGAGGAGCCCAGGCCATGTGGAGATGCCCCAATGCTGAGTCCTTTAGCCCCGAACCTGAGACAGGGGTCTCAAGCCTTTTATCCTCCTGGTTTATTACTAGTCAGGGTCTAGTTCCCCATGCAAATCTTCTTCTCCTTACCAAAGTTAGTATTAAGAAGGGTGGTGGTGACTAAAACAGAGAATTTACATGGATTTGGTTTCATATAGATTGCCTCTCTCTGGCGACCAGACATTAACTATCACCTTTTTGACTCATAAACCTGTCTTGGTCCCTTAACCACAACCTTTAAGCGGGGTCCATTTCTGATATTTCGTGTCTTTGCCACAATTATTTTGCTCCTCTGGTGGCCGGCAGTGGGATGCGGTGGCTCTATCAGCTAATTCTGGAACCTGTCCATGGTATCCTTCCCAATTTGATCTTAAATGGCAAGGTCTTGAAACCATTACTCAGTAAAAACTGTGATATGATCGCTTTGGATCAGAGCTCATCCTTGACTCTGGGAGGGGAGGAGAGGAGAGGAAACCACAGGAGAGGAGAGGAGAGAAGACCAGGGGAGACCAGAGGAGACCAGAGGAGACCAGAGGAGACCAGAGGAGAGGAGAGAACAGAACAGAACAGAAGAGGACTCAGCTCCTGCTCAGTGTATATTTGGTTCTCTGGAGACCTCTGGTCACATCATCAGCTAATGCTGAGTGTTGCCCATGGTTGTCTCTGATGACTCCCAGGGAAACGCCCAGCAACTCACCCACAGGAAAGACGTTTACTCTAGTTAATGTGATTGTAGAATTTGGACCTGAGAAATGAGAATGTAAAAAGTTAAAAAGCTTTAAAAACAATAAGCTTTTTATGGCTTTTTGTTCCATATTTGAGTTTACCTTGATGAAGTCCTTTTGACTAACTCGCTGTGGTGAACTCACTACCACTACAAAGGAAATAAATATCAGTTATGTCTTGATATTGTAACTTGCTTACTGTTTTTTGATCCTGATATTTTCCCTTTCTTCAGATATCTATAACTTAGAAATATGTTTTCAGGAAATATGTTACGAGTGAAAATAAGGAATGAACCATGTAGCACGAGATAGATGATGGAACACTGAGTAGGATTCATCTTTCCTCCTGCTGCTCTCAGATTCTAGGTTAAAGCCCAGTGGAGACGTGTGCACTGTACTCCAGACCTGGTCTGTGATTTCATCTGGCTGTGTCCCCAATCACAGCAAAGCTGGTCCACTTTGTGGAAATAACTCTTAAGTGACTGAGCTACGTTAGGGTAAGGGGTGATCTCTCACATGAAGATCAGCTTGCAGGCTGTGTAGGGACCTTCCTCCATGTTGGAGCTGCCACAGTGGCTTCTGTAGCATTGGGCAGGTTTTATTAAGTACACTGTGAAACACGGATTATTCTGTTGCTAAAACGGGTGCATATGTAGTTTATTGTGAATGCACATCTATTGTGTGAAGGACTTTGAAAATGAGAGTGAGAATCAATATCTAAAATAAAGGCTACGACAAATTTCCCAGACTCATTTAAGTTTTGGTGTAGGAATATATCTCAGGTAGAGTCTGGGGGACTTTTCTCAACATCCTTCAGGTTCTTGACAACACACCCACACTGCCATCTGGTGGGAGGAAAAATATTCCATCACCCTGGCAGGGATGAAAGCCAGAGAGGCAGAGTTCAGTGCTGGTATTTCCAAACAACACTGATTTTGAATTGTGGTTCTGAATTGTGAGTTTATGGCCCGAGCATGGATTTGTCGTGAGAGCTGGTTAGGAAAGAGAGCTTTAGGAGGTGAGGCTCAGATGTAAATACATCTAAGAGGAAGAAGATCTATCTGATATTACTGGAGAAAAAAATATTATTGTCTGTAGTTACTCTCATTTTACTAAAGATGACTTCCATAAAATCTATTTTTAATGTAAAAGTAATAATAGTTGAACTATTACAAATTAGAATAGTGATCCATCCTAATGTTTTCCTAAGCTGTCATAAAATGAGATCACAGACTGGATGACTGTAACAGCAGAAGTTTACTTTTTCATAGTTCTGGAGGCCGGAGCCCAGATCAAGGTGGTCGCAGGTTTGCTTCCTCTCAGATCCTCATTTCTTGGCTTATTGATGACCAACATCTCTCCGTGTCTTCAAATGGCCTTTCCACAGTCTGTGTTCTCTGTGCTACTATTTCGTCTAATGATACTGTTTCATTAAACTAAGCCTCCACTTTTAGTGTCTCATTGAATCAGTATTATTTCTTTTAAGCGTTTGTCAGCAAAGTAAGCTTAAATCCTGGGGGTTTTAGAAAAGAATTCTAGAAGACAAAATTTAGTCAGTAACACTCTGTGCAGGAACCAGCCTGCGAACTGCCCTTGGTGGTACAATGAAGAATTAAAGAGAAAGAGACAGACTTAAAATCAAGGGGGACCAGGGACCCCCATCTCTAAAGGGCAAGCACTCTGAGAGTCTGAAAATATCCTGTATTTGTTAGTAAAACAAGACAATGTAGCAATCACTTAACCCAAAGTTCAAGATACTAAATGTTTAACAAGGAATATAACAACTTCATATCCAGATACATAATTTTTTGTTGAGCCTTGGAAGTCCATGTTGTTCTGCATGAGGGGTTTATAATCCTTTTTTGTTTTTTAAAAATAAAATAAAAAATAAACAATAACAACAGTGACAATTTCAGAACAAAATAATTGGAAATTAACACTAGTTAATATATTTCACATTACCTTTAGAGTAGTTGTTCAGATTACAAGATTTACACATAAGAAAAATCAAATAAATAATGAAAGCACACACTGTTCTTTCTGAGGTAGCAACAGAGATTAGTAGTATAATTATCTATCTTGTATATGTGCCACACACACATGTATGTAGACATATACAAACTCAGACTCGCATTTGTGAACATCTTATTGATTTTCTAGTATAAAAAACTGAAAGAGTAAATGAGCCTCAAAATGTTCAATAGATATTGTGGAAAGGAAAGGGAAAGCAAGTGCTCAGAAGGAAAAAACAACTGGGATATGGGAAAGGAAAAAAAGATCAAAGATGCTGTTACTTTTTGAATGCATGAAATAAAATTTTGTATGAGAGAAGTCAGCTTCTAAGGATGTTAAATCAAATAAACTTGATGTCAGTACTTGCAAATACATACTTACTGAATGCCAGTATTTAGAGACAGAAAGAAGAATGTCTTTGCACTTCATATACATAGTAGATTACATAGTAGAACAAACACAAGAAATAAATTTTGTGATATACTTTGGACCATCACCACATATACTTGCTATGGTAAGATCCTGACAGTTTCTAGGTAGCTCTTGAGAAGGTCAGAATGCAAAAGTTTGAATATTCAGGGCATCAAACATTATTTCTGAATGCTGTGTGGCCTTGTTAAGTCCCACTTCCCCATTCATCTGTATCATTGTGTTTTAACATTATGGCCCACCAATGTTCTAATCTACACTAATGATAGAGTCAGCTTTATCCCCAGAAATGATGCTGCAGATGGTCAAGTAAGGACAGTCCCAGAGCCAGAGCCCAAGAAGTGATTGGGATTCCATCCTCTTATTGAAGCTTCCATCTCTCTTAACCCTTGAGGGAGGAACCTTGCCTGGGCACTGCTGAAACCATGCGATGCCACAGGCTTTGTGCTCACTGCTCAGGGTGCACGTGAGTCAAGTCCCAGTGCTCTGCCCTGTCAGTTCTTGCCATACAGCTGTGCAGGAGCACAGCGCAGTGCTTTCACAGTCCCACAATAATAAATACAAAGAGCTGTGATTTGGGTCTCTGGCAGGGTAACCATGAGCCTATTCCTAGGACCCAAACAGATAAACAAACAAAAACTACATCATACTATTAAGTGATCCTGACAATGAGATTAGCCTAGAACTATAATAAAGTTCTAGAAACTTGCTGGACAGTAACTCCAGAAATATGTCATCCCACACATAGTTCTGGAGGTCAGTAATCTAGCGCCCACAGACAGGGCCATGTTCCCCATGATACCTCTAGGAGACTCCTTTCTCCCCCTTCCTGAGTCCTACTTGTGTTGGTCTTTGGTGCCCCTTCACCTACTGACGCATAAGGTCAGCCTCCTTCTCTGTTTTCACATGATATCCTATATATGTATCCCTGTCTCCCCAGGGCATCTGCTTATGGCGACTCCAGACATAATGTAATCAATAATAGTTTCTCTAATATCACCTCATCTTACTGACATCAGAGATCAGTTTATGTGATTCTTGACAGTAGCCTCCCATCATGCTTCTATAGGGAGAGTTTTTGCCACATAACATTAAAAAAACAAGATTTTTTCCCAAATTTTCATAGGTTTTAATATTTTAAAGTTGTTATCCCCTTGTTTTGAAAGCCTATGTTGTTATAGTTCTGGGCTCTATCTTATTGTTATTTGTCTCTCCTGTTTCTGGTTTTTATTGCATTTTGTTTTGCTTCATTTTGTTGTTTCCTGTAATATGGAAAGTATGTATGTCCATATACAGGCTGAAACATGCTTGAAGTACTGCTAATGAATTTACAAGAATTGATTTTTTACATTTCATGGTATGAATAGCTACTTTGAAAAAAAACGAGACATTAAGGTAGCCATTCCTGATTTCCTACCATCTTGTTTTGAAGTCCACTAATCCTTTTATTCTTTGTTTCCATTATTTTTGGTCTGTTTTCTGTTATTTGATTTCAATATGTGTGAAATGTTTTCTGTTATTTGATTTCAATATGTGTGAAGGTATGTACAGCTATTTAGAAGAAAACAAGAGGCATTATGTTAGCCATTGTTGATTTTATATTGTCTTGAAGGCCCATAAGGCTTTTATTCCTTTTTTTTATTGGTTTTATACTATTTTTTGTTTGAATTTATTGTGTGTGTGTAGGTAAGGACAACTCTTTTGAAGAAAAACAAGATATATTATGGTAGCCACTGTTGATTTTTTGTTGCATTGTTTTGAAGACCTATGTTCCTTACATGATCTGCTTTTTGTTTGATTGTCTTAAAAATTATTTTTAAAAGTCATGCAATGCCTTTGTAGTAAAATGAAAACTAATAAAATGTAATTTATATCAATGTCTTAAATATGGTAGTTTAGTTTTCTTTTCTCTTAGATGTTAAAAAGAACACTATGGAAGCAGCTTTTAAATAGAGAAAATAGTGACTTCAGTCTTCAGATCTTAAAGCACAATCACTGTACTTCTAGGAAAGAAAAATAACTGAATTCTGTTTTTGTATGAAAGATGTCACATGGAACAATTCATGCATATCCTTCGCTATGGTACTGGAACATGAATCAGCATCAATAAAGACACTTTTCTACAACTTTCTCGTCACAAAAGGTCTACAGGAGTCTGCCAGAGTGTGTATAGTGCAGTCACTTCATCAACTTTGTACTCAGGCTTAGTCCAGTGTAGGTTTATGGCTTAATTAACCATGGGGGTCTCCCCGTGTGAGCAGTGCTGTCACAGAGCATATGACAGCACTCAGCTTCATCCTGACACTGTCTCTCAAGGGTGTTAGGTGGACTCTGCCATGGGAGGGAGCATGCCGACCTGACAGTGACTTGGAGTATCTATTGCTTGTGTCAAAAATCACTGTTGTGAGAGTTTTGTGAGTTTCTGGTGGACCTAGGATGGAACACGACCATCAGTGCTTGCTACAAAAAGCAGCCATAGAGGAAAATGGCCGAGACTCTGACAAAGAGAATATTTGAAAGAATAGGGTATATCAGAGCCTGAGAACTGGACCTCAAAATAAAAATCAACACACGAGGGGAAAAGAAAGAAAGACAAAAGAGTCACTCTGAAGGCAGCTGTATGAAATGCACACCTTTTAAGACAGAGAGTGAACAGAGATGGAAGGAGGAGCACACGTGTGTAGGCAACAGGGTGGGCTTTGCAAGTATTTCTGAGAGCCTGCAGCTTCTGATGCTGTGGGATGATCCTTGTTGTCCCCCTCAGTGCTCAGTGAGGTCTCTGTCTATGGTGTCATGTACAAATATGAATCATTTACCAAAAGCATTAGTACAATTGGTTATAAAATTCTGACCTCAGGATCCTGTTCCCCTGCCAGGGATGTTGGGTGCTGTGAGCTTTGTGATTTCCCATGAGACGCAGCACAAGCTGAGACCTCTAGCTCAGTCCTTTGAGCACAAACCACAGGATTAACTGTGAGCCTTGTGTGTCCTTTCTAGGCTTTGCTGACCCTTGAGAAGACTCCCAGTGCCCTCTAATGGGCTCTGATGAATATCGTATTCTCTAGTTGTATTCAGTATCTTCTGTCATTTTTTATTTTAATTTTGTTATTTCATGTGTGTTTCATAACACAATAACCAGATAACAAGAATAGCTTATATATTGCCATATTCTTAAGATAATGGCCAAAACGGGACTCCAAGCAGAAGTCATAGACAAAAGGGACCCTGCTTATAATGAAGGAGCAAGCAAAAACCAGAACATTCTCTTGAGCAAACAAATACAAATTAGTACTATGAGTGAAACAATTTGCATATCTATAATGGATGAGAGAATTGTTCATGGGGAGCACATCCCTCTTTGTGACATTTACCAGATCACTTACGTTTGTCCTATGTCATAGAAGATGGAGCTCTGCCTGGTACCACTGTGAACTATAAGCCCAGGCCTCCGCATCTGTTTTTCAGTTGGGGCGTGTCCATCAGAAGTGAGTTTCTCAAGTGATTCATGTTGTCAAGTGACTTGAAGCACACTTTGGAGGACATTTCTCCTTGTGACGCTCCAGACTGACATCTGGCATTGCTTAAAACCTGCTGTGGGTCAAAAGAGTAGAGTCCTTAGTTCACCACCTGTAAATTTCCTATAAATCTCTCGGAGTGAGTTCCCACACTCCTGAGAGACATCGACTCTATGGAAATCACACCCAGGTAACCCATTCAGCCTCCAGACAGGTTTCAGGGGCTTCTGAAAATGGTGATGAAGAACCTAAAACCACTCTAGTTGGCTTTAAGCCATGAGTTCAAAAATTGTTGCCATGATAAAAGAGTTTTTTATGTGTTAGTACGGAATTTGTCATGCAGCAATGTACAAGTACATGCATACGAAAATTGAGTGCACATAAGAGAAAGATAGAAAGACAGACAGAAAGAGGGAGGGAGGGCGAGAGAGGAATGTAACTGTTTGGAAATAAATATATATGTGCATCTTTGGCTGTTAAAATCTGAGGAATTTGTGAGTGTATATGATGTTTCCTCTTGGCCTTGGTTCATGGGACACAGGGTGACCCACGCATTGGATAATGGCCTATTTCACAGGTGTAAGGCCTGAGCCTTAACAAAGTTTTTGACAGATAATATAAAATGTTTTTATACTCTCATAGAGTGTTCCTATAATATCAGAATCTTGCTCTGCACCAACAAAGAAATTTGTAGACGTAAAGTATCTTTAAGAAATTTTGAATGTGAGAGACCAGAAAAAAACATAAACAAACCAAGAGTTTATTGATATGGATAACCTTGAGCAGCTTGACCTAGTATTAAAGTCGTGTTCAAAATTCAAATATTTTAGTAATGATTTTCTTTGTCTCCCTTCTACCCGTCTGTACTTCTTCTATCCTGCTCAATGACACTATGTCCTGACACATTCTCAGGCGAGCTGGATTCCGCCCTCTCTCTCTTGTCCCACAACGTGGTTTGCTGGCCCTGATCCCTCCAGTATACTCCAGCCTAGTGCCCTCTACTTCATGGTGCAGCTGAGGCTTTAGGTGACAGAAAGTGAACCAGACCAGCTTGTACCTGAGATCCTCCCTGAGCCTGTGTTCTCCCTCCCCAGTTCATGTTTCGGTCCTGGACGCAGTGAGACACCAGCAGCTCTGGACAGTGTTGGATGCAAGCCAGGGAGACGTCTTTGGTGTGATGTGTGAAAGTGTAGAATCCCTGCTCTTGAGGCCAGGTCCTGCTTGGATGGACCCAGGTCTCTGATTAGCTGGGGGATTAAAGGTTTACTTCATGTTTTTTGTCAAAATAAAAATACCACAGCTATGTCCTTTTATATTATTGTATAATCACTGTACCACAAAGCAAAATTTAGCAAAACTCAGTTTGTATTTCTTTTTCCTGAGACTCTGGCAATATTCTTCCATAAATCGGAATGATGAATCCTGTTACACTGTAGTTAGATCCAAGAGTACTTACTGTAGATACAAGTTATTTTTACACTTCATGAGGCTTCCTAGTTAATTCACAGGGCATTTTGCAGTTTTTGTGCCACTTCTCCATCCAGGGGTGTCACTGTGAAAAGCGTCATTGTACCCGATGCCACAGTAATAGTCAGCCTCATCCTCAGGCTGCAGCCCAGAAATATGCAAAACACCTGCATTGGCTGAGGTGTCTTTTGAACCAGAGAAGCTGCTGGGGAAGCCAGAACCCACTTGCTTATCTGAGTCTGAGTAGTAGTGCAGGAGAAACCTGGGAGGGCTCCCTGGCTCCTGCTGGTACCAATATAAGTCTTTTCTCCCAACACTGATGTCACCTCTGAAGGTGCAAATAAGTCTAGCAGCTGCTCCAGGAGATGCAGAGAGTGCGGCCTCCTGAGTCATCGGATCCTGGGAAACTGCAAATACAGACCCTGCTGGACTGGGGAACAGTGACATGCTAAAGCTTGGCAAGACTCATAGCAGAGGTTGTGAAAGTGCAGCTTGTCTGTAAGGCCTGCTCTTACCTGAGCAGTGAGAGAGGAACAGGAGGAGGAGAGGGGTCCAGGCCATGGTGGAAGCAGCCCCCTGATCGCCCCCTGATCCCCACCATGCCTTGAGTTGCCCCAGGCCTCCTTTTCTTTCCCAGGCCCTGAGCCAGGAGCTGGTCATGCATATTTGTTCCCAGCTACTGTGGCTCAGCCCCTCCCTGAGCCCTGGTGCTGGTGCTCAGCTCATGCTGCAAAATGAAGAGGAAGAAAATTTGATTTCCTCTTTGTACAAGTCCTGGTGATACAGGGGGATGAAATTTCTGATCTACTGTGTCAGGTCTGAGCTCCTGTTCTTTAAAATTGAAGAATGAATTTTAGGAACAACGGAGGTGAAGAGTAGAATATATTTATTGAGAGAAAGAAAGCTTCTGTCAGGGCGACCAAAGGGAGTCCAGAGCAGATTGCCCAAGACTCTGTCTTTTCTAGGGACTTTATTATAAAGTAAAAGGATGGGTCCAAGGTGAGGGGGGAGGACTGGGGGAGACTGGGAACTCACAAGGCAGATGGGCATAAGGTGGAACATATCTATAGTTAGCCAGTAAGATCAATAGTTTAGTTAAAATTGATTATATTAGGGACAAATGCGAATGCAAGTCAGGTAGGAAGCCAGCATTCTTGGAGCTGTGACCTTTCTCCTATGGGTATGGGATGGTGACTCCAGGGTGATAAGGTACTAATCACAATATCAGTCCTTAGGATGTGGATGGTTTATTTGATCCTTTATCTTGAGGCCTGTCCCACAACAGGAGGTGTCCGTCTTCCCCAGAGTTGCAAACTACCCAGGCTTCTGTACTGGGTCCTCTGAGGACCTAGCCCTATCTCCATTGCCTATAATATTTCTGACTAACTCAGCTGCCTGCAACACTGGCAGGCAGCATCTTCTGAAAATAGTCAAAACTTGCTCAAACTGCTGTGCAGGTCACAGATGACACAGCAACTGAGCCTGTCAGTGAGCACTGGACTCAGTGTGCTGGTGCAGGTCCTCTGTGTGGATGGTTCTTTGCTTGAGCTGCACAGGACCTCAGGACAATCTTCTCACAATGCTCCCTTCTGGTCATGGGACACACATCTGCTCATGGCTCAGAGACCACAGAGTGCGTAACTTGGCTCTTGCTGATCACATGACTTCGAGGTTCTGTGATTTGATGTACTCTGTGAGGGCCATAGATTCTCACTCCTAGGAGTCTTGTTTATACAGATTTAACTTGACTTGCTTTATTTCACTTTGTCCTTGTATTCAGACTCATTTATCTGTTGAGGAATGTGAACGTCCCTGCATGCCTTCAGGGTGTGGTTAGTGGAGACTTCTCTACTCTCCTGTGTGCAAAAATTTATTTTATTTTGCACATCTTAAGTACATTATACTTTAAATAAGTTTAAGATGGTTGCAATCCAGATGCATCTTGTGTGAAAATGGGTTATAGGGTTAAGGACCAGGGTCTTTTTTTCTCCTGGAAAATATTCATTTTCTTGATTTGAGTGGGCTTCCGTTCAGTGTTTTTGGAATAAAAAATAACAGAGGAGCTGATGTTTGAGATTCTTGTATGAGTGCACTGGACTGTGAATACTTTTCCACCAAGGAATTTAAATCTGTGTCAGAAGACCAGTGAAAACGACACACAAACTAATTCTGCTATGTGACAAGAGATTACAGAAGCAGGTTACATAGAATCT